TGCCACCTTCCATGGCCTCTGAGCAGAACAAGACTGGCTTAGTGGCTGCAGCAAGCAGCCTTCTCCATGGGGCTATTCAGGGTCACCAGGGAGGAGGTGTTTGCCCACATACCAGGTCTACTTGACATCTCAAGGGACGGGGAAATGCCCCATCCCTAAATCTGGGTCGAATGCATGGATCAGAGAAGCTCTCCTAACTCCTAACCTGTCTTAGTCAGCTTGGGCTGCCAGAACAAAATACTATAGACCGGGTGGCTTAAACCACAGAAATCTACTTTGTCACAGTTCAGAAGGCAGGAAGTCCAAGGTCTCAGAGCCAGCACGGTCAGGTTCTGGTGAGGACTGTCTTCCTGGTCTGCAGATGGCCACCTTCTCACTGAGTGCTCACATGGAGGGGAGAGAAAGCAAGCAAACTCTCTGGTGTCTCTTCTCATCAGGGCACCCATCTCATGATGAGGGCCCCACCCTCACGGCCTTGGCCTAGTTCTCGCCAAAGATCCCCTTCTAAGCACTATCACATTATGGGTAGGGCTTCGGTATAAGAATCTGAGGGGAAGACAGTGCAGTCTAAAGCACCACCCAGTCTGCCCATGACTTGTAACCAGGACTTCAAACAAGTCTAGATGCTGCATTTCAGAACGGGGGAGGGATAGGAAAAGGTTCCTGCCCTTGCAGGACATGCCTATGTCACTGGCAACCCAAGTGGAAAAGAGAAATATTTTATTTTTATATTTTCTCTTGTGTGTCTTATAGAGTTGTGATGTCCACGCTGGTAGCCACTGGCCACATGTGGCTCGACAAGTGGCTAGTCAGAATTGACCTGTTTCAAAGGTTTCAAGGACTAACATGAAAAAAATGGAAATTATCTCAATAACCTTTTATACTGATTACATGTTGAAATGATATATTCAATATATTGGTTTAAATAAAGTGTTAAAGTAATTTCTTCTGTTCTTACTTTTTAAACACGTGGTTACTAGAAAATCCTAAACAAATGTGTGGCTCACATTTTCGGCTAGTATCGCATTTCCGCTACTCTAGGGATAGGGATGACAGAGAGAGAAGACCCCATGTGCAGCACAGCTCCCAGCACAGCTGGCCCTCCAGCCTTGGCCGGTGGCACCAGCACATCAGACAGCACCCTCACCGGGGATTTGGCCGTGGAGCTCAACGTGTAGTGGGCCACACCCATGGAGGAGAGGGCAGGGCTCCTGAGGACACACTGCCCGAGTCATGACGGCCCAGAACAGTGCCCGGGAGGCAGTGCCAGAGAGTGAAGGGCCCGCGTGCCGTCGCTCCCTGTCTAACTAGGCTGGCTCCTGTTTGGGTGAGGGACACAGAAGGAGCTGGCGTCTGTAAACACTGGAATCCCCTCCGGCACAAGAAGCCCGACTGGAGAATCGCACTGGCCTGCCCATCTGCTCCCACCGAGCCTCCCTCCTCTAGGCAGGGGGCCCCCTGGGACCACCAGCACCCTTGGGTTCCTTTCTCTCTTTCGTGCCTTCCAAGCACCTAAGTACGAATTGCTGCCCGGTAATCATGCTTATGGGGCAAACCCACTGAACTTCCTGTACCATGCCCATTTACTGCTTTTTAGAGTTGGGTATTAGGATTTTATGATGTTGCCCGCACACGTAGCTTAGCTATCTCCCTGCGGTTCGACACTGGCACCGTTTCCTTTTTCCCCTGTTACTATAAACAGTACCGCTATGCTTACCTTTACTTTTTCCCATTTGAATTCTTTTACCGGAATGTTTCCCTAAAGTGAAATCGGTTGGCTAGAAGGTATATCCAACCTGGTAGCTCCGGTGATGTTTTTTCGGCCGAAGACTGCGTCGCTGTGCATTGCTTCCTGTGTGTGTGGGTGTGGGTGTGCACACGTGTGTGTACACCGGCCTCCTACCCCTCTGCCAGCTCTGGGTTTGCTCATTTGTATTGATTTGTATTAATTAATTGGTATATAACAGCTATCTCCTAGATGCCATACTTAAATTCGCTTAGCTGCTAAGGAGAATGAGAGAAGTTCCCTGAAAGCCCCGGAAAGTCAGCCGGGTGTGGTGGTTCGTGCCTGGAATCCCAGCACTTCGGGGGGCTGACACGGGAGGAGCGCCTGGGCAACACAGGGAGAGCTTGGCTCTACCAAAAGCCCAAAATATTAGTCGGCATGGTGGCGCATGCCCGTGGTCCCAGCCACCGGGGAGGCTGGGGCAG